TCACGTAGTACTTTGGTGTTATAAACACAAGTGTAGTGACGTGTGGTGTTCTGTAGAGGAGCGTGCTAGGATGTAGGCGACCAATGTTCCTCAGCCCGCGTCGATTTGAGGAGATGATTTCACCTTGTAATTGGTTCCCTAGCTGTTAGTTGCGGACCACACACTGGTCCTCCCTCCCGCGAATTTTATAATCGTAAACGACATAGCAGTAGGGGACTTCAAAACATACCTGGCGAGTGAGATACATTAAGTCATGGATGACACAAACGCCAACACGAGTAAACCTCCTGAAGAGAAATTACCATTTCCTTGGATCAATGATAAATATTTTTTGGTAAGTTGTGAATCATCGTGTTAAATAAAGACGACCAGAGGCTTAGTAAACAACTGTAATGTCTTACTACTATCTGGGGGTTTGCTGTTATTACACCATTGGTATACTTAGGCCTGCACTAATTACACCTGTGTATGGAGGCACTTACTAAAGACCCAAAAATCATTAAGTGAAGCTGTAACAAATACATCCATAGAAGCCATTGGCTCGTTATATACTGTAGATGTCTGTTAGTGTGGCGCGAAAATGTTCCTCTACACCTGAATCTGCAAGAGATTAAAAAAAAATAAGAATCAAAACACGAGTTTCTGGTATATAAACAACGATTCAGGGTCTAAAACACTAATATGGTGGTATTGTTTATGTATAAAAAATCAAATCCTGTTATTCTGTCGCACTGTTATTTGGACAATAGAGAGGATATTTACGTTTTGACTCACCACATGACGAGGCTTCCTTTTATCACCACATTCCCACTCATGTTCTTGGATATCGTGACTGATGATGCCAAGTGGCAGTCAAACTACGAGAAATTTAGAAGTAGTAAACGACGCGTGAGGGCGACCAAGCCAAAGAGTTGCTTGAAGTACCTCTTCCAAACCAACTACAGATGTTACTACAACAACAACTCATGCAGGATAGATTTTACATCCTTCAGATATACCGAATGTCCAGCTCAAGTTACCCTCATCGAGGAGAGAGACTTCGGAACACAAAGCAGGTTAATTGGTGACCAAATTTGACCACTATTTTCTGGATTTACACTTTAATAATATGCAAAATCAGTCATCATTTTATTTGAAGGCGACTTACGACACTCCCCGGGAAAACATGTTGTACACTCGCCCACGGGGAACCGGATACGACAGTTTTCTGATTATTAAAGTATGTCTTTCATTAATAAAGAATAAGTTATCAAACAACATTAATGTCTATATTATATTGTGAAACTTTAATTCTTGTCTAACAAAATATAAATACCTTGAAAAGGAAAAAATGATGCGCATCACCTCACGACTGACGGGCCAACCTGAGCCGACTCAGCTGAGGCGAGGGTGTGCGACACTACCCGACTCAGTCCGAGGGAATCACGTGACAAACGCTCAGTTCTCTGTCTTCCACACACTCGTGAAGGCCGATGTGTAATACATTAGTGCTGTGGTATACGTCGCCGCGCTGTTCATTATAACACAGGCATCATCTATTTGAATACGTTCTTCTGTATCATATATAACTTGGAAGAACAAACAGAAGTGTAGTGAGGGCCTGAGGGGTATGTGAAGTGTGGAGGAATGAATGGGGTGTAGAGAGTGAGGATGTGAGCGACCGACGCACCAGGCGAGGCTGCTCCCCGGCCCGCGTCGATAATATCCCGGCCCGTGATTGGTCGTACGCGTCCGCCTGCCACAGACGCTCGCTCCCTCCACCTCCATTATAGACGTAAACGCACTGCATCAGACTAATCATGTCACACACCAGCCAATTATGTGAGGCTTCCCTGATAGTCAAGGTGAAGGAACATCCTCACCTCTATGATATCCACCACAAAGACTACAAAGATTCACGTAAATGTATCCAAACGTGGACGTTGATAGCCAGAGACCTTGGATGCTGGGGCGAGTGGAAGATGTGTAAGGAAAGATGGCGTACGCTGCGGGACGTTTACGTGCGCAATAGGAAGTCCATCATGGTGGGTGAAACTATGAGGAAAAAGCCACGTTGGAGGTTCTTTGATCAGATGAACTTCCTGGATGCTTACGTCAACCACAGACCTCCAGACCCTGAGGTGTACGCCATCCTGGCCAGGTGATGCCCGACACTGTCCCTGCATGTCTCTAGCCTTAAGTAAGGGTATGCTCTACTGTCAGGGATGTTGGTGAATTTCTACTAAGTGGAGAGATAAGCTATTGTACACAAGTGACCGTCAAAATAACCCAGAAATTACACTGTAGCTAGAAATGTTTTATCTGCCAGGGTCGTATGGCGAGGGATAAAGCACGATGAAGACTAACAAATAACTTGGCATTTGGAGGGAATACTTTGTGTATACTGTACTGTATATCTCAGACGACCTCAGTTACTACACATTAAACTTTGCTGTGCTTCTGTTGAGGTCTTACCATTATTAGTAGTGTGTTGGATAGCTTCCTGTCAGTCGGACTGTTTTGGGTTTAAGTTCAGTCTGGGGAAAAACTGCTCTGGATATAACGTGCTTGTAGTTTGTGTTAATCTGAAGACACAATAAATATAAATAAATAAACAAATTGTCGTTTTCCATCAGTACTTGGACATCCCTGTTTCTTGTCATTTAATTCCTGTTTGGGTTCCGCCTCCATTTAATAGGTTTTGTTGGGGTTTTTCCTGCATCACTCCACACTCCGCTGTCTCCTGCATCACTCCACACTCCTCTGTCTCCTGCATCACTCCACACTTCTGTCTCCTGCACCACACCCGCTGTCTCCTGCATCCTCCACACCCTCTGTCTCCGCAACACCCCTGCATCACCAACTCCCTCTGTCTCCTGCACACTCCACACCTCTGTCTCCTGCATCACCCACACTCCTCTGTCTCCTGCATCACCACACCTCTCTGTCTCCTGCATCACCCACACCTCCTGTCTCCTGCATCACTCCACATTCCTGTCTCTGCATCACCCACACCTCTGTCTCCTGCATCCTCCACACTCCTCTGCTCTCCTGCATCACCCACACTCCCTCTGTCTCCTGCATCACTCCACACCCTCTGTCTCCTGCATCACTCCACACCTCTGTCTCCTGCATCACTCCACACTCCTCTGTCTCCGCATCACCCACACCTCTGTCTCCCGCATCCTCCACTCCTCTGTCTCCCACCCACACCCGCTGTCTCCCCATCACCCACACCCTCTGTCTCCTGCATCACTCCACACCTCTGTCTCCCCACCCACACCTCTGTCTCCTGCATCACCCACACCCTCTGTCTCCTGCATCACTCCCCACACCTCCTGTCTCCCTGCATCACCCACATTCCTGTCTCTTGCATCACCCACACCTCTGTCTCCTGCATCCTCCACACTCTCTGTCTCCTCCATCACCCACACTCCTGTCTCCTGCATCACTCACATTCCTGTCTCCTGCATCACTCCACATTCCTGTCTCCTGCATCACTCCACACCTCTGTCTCCTGCATCACCCACACTCCTGTCTCCCTGCATCACTCCACATTCCTGTCTCCTGCATCACTCCACATTCCTGTCTCCCATCACTCCACACCTCTGTCTCCTGTATCACCACACTCCTGTCTCCTGCATCACACACTCTGTCTCCTGTATCACCCCACACTCCACTAAAATAGGACGTGTTATTAAATCTGACGAGGACTCCGCAAAACTACAGGAAGATCTAAACAAATTTTTCGAATGGTCTCAAAAATGGCAGATGAAATTCAACGTCGACAAATGTAAAGTACTCAGTATCGGAGATGTAAACAGGAAAACCAGATACCAGATGAACAACGATGCCATAGAGAAATCCGACTGTGAGAGAGATTTAGGAGTAATTATAAGTAGGAACCTTAAGCCAAGTAAACAATGTGTTTTTGCTCGTAACAAGGCTAATAAAGTGCTTGGGTTCATACAAAGGCGTGTTAGTTACAAGACTAGCGAGGTCATCCTAAAACTGTGTCTTGCGCTTGTGAGACCACACCTGGATTACGCAGTTCAGTTCTGGTCACCGTATTACAAGATGGATATAGAATCATTGGAAAGAATTCAGATGAGAATGACAAGACTAATCCCGGGCATTAGGAACCTTGAGTATAGAGACAGGTTAAAGCACCTTAATTTGCACTCCCTCGAGAGACGTAGAGCGAGAGGCGATCTGATAGAGGTGTATAAGTGGATGTCAGGGCTAAACAAAGGGGACATTACAAAGGTACTCAAACTATCCAACCAGGAGCGAACTCGTAACAATAGTTTTAAATTAGACAAATTTAGATTTAGGCGCGAGATAGGTAAACACTGGTTTGGAAACAGAGTAGTGGATGAATGGAACAAGTTACCAAATACCATCATTAACTCGAATACGCTGAATTGCTTCAAACATAGGTTGGATGCTCATATGAGCAATAGGGGTTGGGTGTAAACGGGACTGCCCAGTATGGGCCAATAGGCCCGCTGCAGTTTCCTCCATTCTTATGTTCTTATGTTCTCTGTCTCCTGCATCACTCCACACTCCTCTGTCTCCTGCATCACTCCACATTCCTGTCTCCTGCATCACTCCACATTCCTGTCTCCTGCATCCTCCCACCTCCTGTCTCCTGTATCCTCCCACCTCCTGTCTCCTGTATCACTCCCACACTCCTCTGTCTCCTGCATCCTCCCACCTCTCCTGTCTCCTGCATCACTCATTCCTGTCTCCCGCCATCCTCCATTCCTGTCTCCTGCATCCTCCCACATTCCTGTCTCCTGCATCCTCCCATTCCTGTCTCCTGCATCCACTCCTGTCTCCTGTATCACTCCACAGTCCTGTCTCCTGCATCACTCCACAGTCCTGTCTCCTGCATCACTCCACAGTCCTGTCTCCTGCATCACTCCACACTCCTGTCTCCTGCATCACTCCACACCCTGCACGGCATCTTTCACCTTCCCGGTATGTTAAATGATGAAATTACTAGTTATCGTGCGGAACTTGGCGGCGCCCTTCAGAGATAGAACAATACCAAATGGATTGAGAAGCTGTGTGTGTGTGTTTTCTGTGGGGTACATCTAAAGTCATAATGTAGGGTGTCCGTTAGTGTACTTCTTACCGGTGTAGCAGCCCACATTAACCCCCCGCCAAACTATACCCGGGGTTACAGTGGGCTAGCCCAAAATATACCCCGGGGTATAAAATAGTCCAGGCTATATTATACCCAGGGGTATATTTTGGGCTAGACCAGACTATATCTCTCCTGTCCAGATTATACCTCCATGTGTTTTTCATAAATAAGGTAACTCGGGGGAATAATATACTGGATTTAGTATTAAGTAATAGATAAAATACAATTACAAATTTAGAAATTGGAGAAATATTAGGAAATAGCGATCACAAAGTCATCAGATTTGACCTTAACTTAACAAATGAGAAGAAAGAAAATAACATAATTATAACAGACTTCAGAAAAGCAAATTTTATAGGTTTAAGAGATAGGCTAAGGAATGAGGTGTGTGGTGGTATTACCCGACCAGGGCCAGAACAAGTGAATTTAGGTCCCGTGGGAGAGGTCGGATTATTTCAGAATGACCAAGAAGGAAATACGTCGGGTCGTGAGGATGAAGCATCTTATAGGCATTAAGAAAGGTATTTATAGGAGATTAAAAAGAGGGGAGGAGAATTTGAGGCAGCAAATCTAAAAGAAATTACGAAATGAAAATTGCTAAGAAATCGAAATTAAATCTGAAAATTACTGAATACTTAAGTTTTTAAGTTAATTTAATTCCAAGTTTGTAACACTATGAATTTATATGATGGATTTTATAAGTTTCACAATGTGTTAATAAATTCTTTGTTCAAACAGGGCAAAATAAAGAAAGCATTATCCCTCTGTAAGGTGTAATGTCAGGTCAGGTTAAGTGTGAGGTCGTCAGAGGGTAGACTGAGGTGCTCTTGCTTTTGTCTGTCATTGTGCCTGAGGCTTGTGACTGGTGTTGTTCTGTCTCCTCTAATTAGTGTGCATATTTTTTTCAGTTTTATTCATAATTTTTTCAAACTTTCACAAAAAAATCTCTCATGGATGATCAACTGTACAACCAGATTTTGAACTTCTACTCCAGCGCTGACCGAAAGTATCCTCAGCATGTCTATGACCTGGATCCTGCCAAGCGTGTGAATGTAAAGTGTCAGTTTCGTCAAACAGCAAAGCCATTTCGTGCTGACAATGGCTCTCTCTTCCATGGAGACAAGGAGATTCTTGTCAAAACCCGTGTGCCCGGCATTCTGAAGGCCTGTCATGATAATCCAGCTACAGGAGGGCACTTTGGCAGAGGTAAAACTTTCCGTAAAATATCTCAGCGATATTACTGGAAAGGTATGAAGAAAGATGTACAAGAATATGTGAAGGCATGTACGAAATGTTTCGTCAGAAATCCCAAAGTCAGCAAAGAAGCTCCGTCACTCAACCCCGGGTACAGTATACAGTAGTGTGGGGAAGGGTATGTTTGGGCGTTACACCGGCACACTCCGGGACTTACAGTATCTCCTCACTAGTCTGGTCTGGGCCGGTCCACATTCACTCTTATCCATTATCAATCAAGTGTCTTTACTCAAATCCTGTATTATTGTGTAGTGCATGAAGGGATAGAGACTTGAAAAACAAGGGGGGTGGGAGAGAGTGTAAGTGGTTGACATAAGTCAAGTGTAGACCAACAGGGAAAGGCTTTGACAACATGTTCATATTCACCACATATTTAACTTAGAATTATTTTGTTGATATTTAATTATCTTTGTGTTTATCTGTTAATGCAAAAGCAATTGATTATTTTTTGTACTCGACCACTTGTATTTTGTTTTCCAATTTTTTATCCGTTATCTTTATGTTCAAGTAAATTTGCATTTACTGTTTTGTTATACTGAAGAGCCACTGGACTTTGTTGTGTAAGATCAGATACTAATGTAAATAGTTTCGTTTACAGTGGATTAACACTATACACCTTGTCCTCCAGTCAGTGGGTGGCTCCGGGAGACGTGGAGACCGTGTTGTGTGAGGAGAACGACGACAATGACAACCAAGACGCCAACTCCGACTCCACGTCCTTCACCACCGACCACCTGGTGCTCACCACCGTCGACGGCAAACCCATCAAGGAGGAGATGGTGGAGTGGATGGACGAAGAAATTGACGGCAGTGAGGCGGCGACGGATGGTGACACCGTGACCTTAGGGCGTAATTCTTCTGCCGCGGCGACTGCCTCTACTACGCAGTGGAGTGAGAAGAGCCCGAGAAGTGAGTCTTTTGTTTATTTCTTCTCACTACTTCCAACGTTCTCATATTTCTTACCTACATTATTTTTTTTCCTCTTCCATGAATGACCATGAAAAAAATATTGTGTTTCTCTTTCTTTTCACAAAACTTTCACTGGTGTTAGATTTCTCACACAAACCCACAATGATGTTAGTTTAATGCATCCACAACCCTGTTTCCCCTGCAGGATTCGAACCCTCACTACCTGAGATATCGAACGAGGACACAACCAATTGGACCACGAGTGTCTGAAAGTCACTTGTACTGTACCTGACTTGTTACTGCCGGTCCAGAAACTTAACCTGAACCTCATCATGAAGTACAACATGTAGGCTTTACCAAATATAACTCTACAACACTTGAGGAAATAATGTAACGAGATGAACATTTACTTTCTGTTTCTCAAGTGATGGCAGCAGGTAATTTGGTGAAACATATCTACTGTACTTTATATTGGTGGTTCAGCTGGAGTTCCTTGGTCGGCAGCATCAGGTCAGGTACAGGTGATTCTTTGGCCATTCGTGGTACAGGTGGCAGCGCCCTGTTTGTTATTTGAGAGGTCTGGGTTTGAAACAGCCAGGGGTGATGGTGTTGTTTGTGGTGTGCATGGTTATATTTCCATGGCGCTCTTAACACTCCTGATTAACAACCTCCATCATTCCAGGAAAAACGAGAAAAGTCCACCACAAGCCACTTGACAGTCTGCCAATCCAAATAAAAAATGTATCTGGCAGTCAAGGTCGAGCTAGGGGACCAGCTAGTTCACAAGACCACAACAAAGACCAAGAACATTCCTCGTCAGACACTGGCGAGTCCACCTTCAGGGTCCGAGGTGCTGCTGGTTGTCACACTCCGGACACCAAGCCAAAAGTCTCCATGAAACATGAATACGTCATGAACGAGGAGGAGGAACTCTTCGGCAGGTATATAGCGGCAGCCATCAGGAAGCTAACCAACAAGTCAAAGTCTCTGGCCAAAATGAAGATCCAAGAAGTTCTTTTTAACTTGGAAGAATTGGACAGAAACGCCCAGGAAGAACAGTAAAGACTCACAAAAGATGGTGGAATGATGACAATATACTGTACAGTGAAACATCTCAATGGTGACAGTTTATAGTGTAGTGGGTAAACACTGCAGTGACACTTAAGAGAGAAAATTGTCAGGGTTTTTCTCACACCAAACATTGAAATACTGTAATAACTATATAAAAAATTAACTTTTAATTATTTTTTTTTACAATATAAAAGAAAATTCAGTGTTGACAAATGTATAAGTAAATCCTCTTAGGGACAGAAAGTACGAGTTTTAAGTTTTAATTTTGCCAAGACCGCGACAAAATAAACCCCTGAATATGATGCAGTATATTTCTTAATTGAATACTGTAATCAATCTCTTTTTTTATTTATCATATCAGTACAATACAAGGAATTCCATACAACTCCAATGAACTTGTCACTCATTAGTCCAAGTTTATACATACTGTACACGAACTTGAGTAAACCCTGGACCTAATGAACTGTCAAGTTTATTAGTTGGAAGCATTCAACCGAGCCATATATTTAAGGAATAAAATATATTTAAAACCAGAATGCATTTCATAAAAAAATCAAAATATACAGCACAGAATTATTTAAAATCTTTAAACGGCAGACACATACATTTAGTGAGGCGAGTGAACACATCTCACCGATCTGTTCAGTCACCACCAAACTCCTTAACACCAGAAACCTGAACCTGACCAGAAAACTCCCCAACAGAAGCAGCAAAAGTAACTAATTACTTTACCACCGAAGCTTAGGGGAGATAGCTGTAGTTTTAGTGTACAAATACAGTACAGTTCAATGCAACTCCCACCCCCCCAAGTAGTTACAAGAACGGTTGACACTAACGTACCTACATACATATTTTCCGGGAGGCTCGTAAATTCTACAGGTATTCCTTCTACAGTATGAGCTTCTAATCTACACTGGCATTTCCTTAGTTTCCTCACACTAGTCTTTATGATAATGAGGAACACAAACAACACACCGATGAGAATATACAGTACACACACACACACACACACACACACACACACACACACACGCGCGCGCATACAATCATAAACACATGTAAAGCATATTTGATATTCTTGACTGTACTTCCAATGTGTTTTTAAAACTTGGGACAGTACAACAACAATGACCAAGCATTAATATACCCTCTTACTCCTCTCCAACAACAAAACCTGTACCTCCTCCTCCTCCTCCTTCATCCCCCTAACCACCCATGTTTACACCCCTTACCTCCCCCCGTCACCCCTAAAACTATCCCTCCCCCCTTCCCACACACCGTCCTGTCCTCCACTATCACGAAGTACAGTAAACAAACGCTGTGGACGAGACCTCCTTATACTCGGCTGCTGAGAGGTACACATAAATTAGGTGACACAGCTCCACCCGACTGGTAGTGTGTTATGACTTAGTGTTAAGACGTGAGAAAGAGAGATGGTGGGGAGGTGACAAATATCACATAAAAGACAAAAAGTTAAATAAAACAAAACTTAAAGGGACGGTAGACAAAGAAATTGAAAATAAACACAACACGGAAAGGAAATGATTCATAACAAAAGGAAAAGGAAACTAGAGAGAAGAGAAGACAATGAAGGACTAATAATGATAGGATACAGGCAGTAAACGTGTTCGCCCAGGAAGCTAACATCATTTTAAACACAACTTCTTTAAATTTACTAAATGACCAGCCATTACCCAGGAAACGACAGATAACGTCTAATCACACACACACACACACAGTTAAACGAGGCTTCTCACAGCTGCTGTCAATATCTTAAAAAAAACGAAATTCAAGATGGCTGCAGGGTGACGCAACTATATAAAACAATTCTAAAATTTGGTACATAAAAAATCAAAGTCTGTAATCTAAGTTCAGCGTGACACAGATACACTTCACTAGTACTTGACTCAACAAACACACACACACAAAGGCACGCGGTTTAAATGTATTTATTGAAGTTAATTTCATCATAATTCTCAATCAACAGAGACAAACACTAATTTGGTGACCGTGACCTTTTACACCAGTCTCCAGGTAACTGGTTCATGGTGTGTGTGTGTGTTAACTACCAGGGTTATTAAACAGCGCTGATGACATGTCCTGCGTCCTGTAATTCAATATACAGTAACTCAGATCTACCGTTGTAACCTCCCCCCAACACTGACACACACACACACACACACACCTACACATGGACCCTCTGAACTTGCATGAAGCGTCGCATATGTTTCCTGATTTTTATTTATATATACTTTTTAAGAACACCGGCAAGGACAGTGGCAGCTGTGACCCCTGGCGTCGTCCTTGACAACCTGTTGGAGGAGGCCACTGTACCCACCTTGCTCTGTCCTGTACCAGCTCTACCCCCTACTGTACCCTGGCTAACCTGCTTTCTATACCTACCTCGCCCTTTCCTGTACCCGATCCGTCCTATCTTGTACCCTCACTGCCTTGTACCCAACTTACTCTTTTCTGTACCGTACAAATACATCGCAGCAAATTATCAAATATTTATAGTTAATCCCAACACCCAGAAGCGTACAAACACCCTCCTTTCTCACCCCCTCCGTCAGAAGACCTCACCGTCGTAGCCAGGACACCCCCCTCCCTAACCATCCTCCCACAACACAAGGTCACATATACCCTCACTTTCACAACACTCATCCCTTATCTTGAGCTATAGATCAGGTCCTCCGTGGTGGTGGTCATTGTCGTCCCTCGCAGGCACAACACAGCACGCGACTACCATCATCTCCCTGACGTTATAATCTTCAGTAACCCCCCCCTCCCCCCTCGTTAAGGCCGCGACCATATAGCAAGACTCACATGTGCCTCTTAGCATCACAATTCATAAGACTTAATCCCAGCACCATCAAAATCAACAGGATTCTTAACTTCCCTCATCGATGATTCAGGTAAAATTTGGTGACGCTACATGACACCACTTAGGGCCTAGGCTGTAGCATACACAGGATGGATTGTAACAGAGAACAGATAGGCGCACAAACCTTACCTTCAGTGTCGCTAAGACCTTAATCCCTTATCAATCACGAGACTTCCTGAAGACAAACTACACAAGTCACGCGTCTCTCTCCTTCACCCCGCCTACAGGAGTGACTCTCAGTATATAGCTGAAGTGTTCGTCTCTAAACAGTGGAGCCGCAACAAACACGACAAAATAAACGGCTTTTTGTAGTGTAAATTCAATGTGTTTTCTTTTACAGTCAACGATAACCTTACTATCAATAAACGGTTTCACACACACACACACACACACACACACACACACACACACACACACACACACACACACACACACACACACACACACACACACACACACACACACACACACACACACACACACACACACACACACACACACACACACCATCATCTGCTGTATACTTTTGTTTGTTGTGGTGTGGTGTGGTCACTCGGGTCTTTGTTCAGCTGACTTACTAAGAACACTACTGACTCTAGGAAAAAGAAGCCGCATTATCATAACATAAAAGATTATATACTGTACCAAGACGCCACACAAAAATATACATCACACAACCTAACAGATTTTCCGTGGAGATCGTGTGAATGTATAAGTCACCATAGGTCATCATTATGGCTCACTTATTGATGCTCGAGATCTCTCCCCAAGTAAAGGGGCCAGAGTTACTGTTGTCATATAAACAGACACGCGATCTCCACGGATATCTGTTAGGTTGTGTGAATACATTTTATGGTAGAGGCGCAGAGGAACACACACACACACACACACACACACACACACACACACACACACACACACAAAAGATAAGATGTGGTTTGTTGTGAGGACACCACCACACACGGGGCCCTGGTATCCTGTCCCGAATGTCAGACAGGGACGGGACGGGGTAGAGGGCCCCCGAGGCCACATTATCACCACCACTACAACAGGAAACATTCAATCTCTTTTGTCTCCCTGATGAAGATAGAGATAGAAGTACGTCCATTTGACCCGTCTGTCATCTTTTCCAATCACCTGAAGGAAGATTAGACACATACATGTAACTTATCTTAAAAAAAAACATAATTTAACACTGTCATATAAACACGTATTATGGTGTATTAAAAATAATCATTTCACAGCAACAATACCCCCCTCCCCCAACACACAAAAATATCCAAGCATGTTAGTGGAGACAGTCTACCCCCACCACCACCACCTAGTGTACGGGATCCTCTCTGAGCTGAATAAAATCGTCTGACGTTAACCAAATACAAAAATGCAAATAGTGTAAACAAAATAAATAAATAACATACAGCAATAAAAGAACAAGTTGATTTACTGGTCATTAGTGGTTCTCAGTGGTGCCGCCCTCACTTGCCATCAGAGTGTGTGGGTTCGAATCCTACAGGTGAAGAAAAAAAATTAAAGAATGTCGTTTGCGGAATTCACTCCTCAGCCCACCTAGGTTCCTGTTTATTCCACCACCACCATCACCCCCACCTCCTTCCCTCACCACCACCACCACCACTCCCTCCCTCCCTCACCACCACCACCACTCCTCCTCACCACCACCACTCCACCACCACCACTTCCTCACCACCACCACCACCCTCCTCACCACCACCTCCCTCCCTCACCACCATAACCCGTGACAGACCAACACAAAAACTTAACAGCTACAACACTACACTACACTACACTTATTAGGTGGGGGATTAACTGTTCTTACGCCTCTCCTGCATTACTTACCTTGCTACCTATCTTTGTCTGTCTGTCTGTCTGTCTGTCTTTCATGGCTTTCTACCCTGATACAACTGTGATCCAACGCTTGATACTGTCTTGAGACCCTCCCTTACCTGACAGTGCCACCCCCTCTACCTCATCCCTACCCCCTACCCTTACCTTACACCTTTGCCCCCTACCCCTACCTCACTCCTCCCTCACCACCCCTACCTCACATTCTACCACCCACCCTTCCCCTACCACCCACACCTCACACTCTTCCCTCACCACCCTCACCACACACCCCTCCCTCACCACACACCCTCCCCACCACACACCCCTCCTCACCACACATCCCTCCCCCACCACACACCCTCCCCACCCACACCACACACCCTCCCTCACACACCTCCCCACCACACAGCACACACCCTCCCCCACCACACCTCACCACCCACACACACACCCCTCCACACCACACACCCCTCCCCACCACACACCCCCTGCACCACACACCTCCCCACCACACACCTCCCCCACCACACAGCACACACCCCTCACCACACAGCACACACCCCTCACCACACACCCTCCCCACCACACCCCTCCACCACACCCTCCCTCCACCCCACCACACACCCCCCCCTCACCACACCCCTCCCTCACCACCCCTCACCACACACCCCTCCCCCACCACACACCCCCTCACCCCCACCACCACACACCTCTCCCACCACCCCTCACCACACACCCTCCCCTCACCTCCCTCACCACACACCCCTCCCTCACCCCCCCCCTCCCCACACACCCTCCCCTCACCAC